TGTGAATGAACCTGGAAAACATGCTAATCAACAGAAGCTACATACAAAAGATCATGTATGAAGACCCATGACAGGTAAATGCACAGAGATAAGGGCTAGAGGGCAGAAGAAGCGGGATTGAATGCTAGTAGAAACAAGGTGATAAAACTGTTCTGGATGCTTTAGTGAAGATGTCCACACAATCTTGTGAATAGACGAAGAAAAAAGTTGCTGCCACTCAAAGCTCTATTAGAATTGTAGATTTTAACAGAATGAACTTTATGGTTTGCAAATTATAAATCCATTTTTGGAAAAAGTATTTGGAATTGGAGTGGCCAATGAGGGGTGGGGAAAGCAGGAAGGGACAAGGCAAATAGCACCATGTGATTTGGGGGACTGCTTGTCTGAAGGGCATCCCAATGGGACTTCCTGAGGCACTGAAGGTGGTTGGAAACAAACTCTCTAAGGAAAATTTCAAGGAGGAACATCTCCACCGGTCAGTAGATCCCATCCACGCCTGAAGTTTATAGCTGTTACTTTCAGATTCAAGAACAAAGAGCAACATTTCCCTCACAGAGTTATCTCATTGGTGCAGGAGAGCTGGCTCAGCAGTTAAGAGCCTTAACTCCTCTTACAGAGGACTCAGGTTCAGTTCTCAGCACCTATATCAGCTAAGTTAACAACCATCTGTAGCTCCGTTTTCATGGAATCTGATGCCCTCAGCTTCCACAGGTACCTGAATGCATTTGGCACACATAAATTCATGTAGGCACATACACATGATAATAACTTTTTTAAAAAGAATTGCATGTTATTAATGTTTGCCCCTTGTGATTTTCTAGAGATCTCTCTTCTCTCTCAATCTCTCTCTCTCTCTCTCTCTCTCTCTCTCTCTCTCTCTCTCTCTTTCTCTCATACATACATTTTTACTGAACAATCTGACACAACCTCCAAATGATTGTACTTCTGAAAAATGAAGATGTTGCTTTGCTTCCAAAATCCATGACTTCACTAGCCCCGGGTAGTTGGCTTGTCTTTCAGTATCAGGCATGATTTTCCTCTTGTTGAGTAGGCCATATGTATAATTAGAGAGCTGTTGGTTACCTCCATGATGTGTGCCACTACTGCATCTTAGGGCTATCATCCCATGATGGTTGTTGTAGTTTATCAACATCAAGATGTCATCACTGGGTAAGACTACTGCTTTCTCTCCTTTGAAAGCCTAATTGTACCTTCTGATACCGTGGAAATTAGTCCAGGTAGCTAAGGAGTGCTAAAAACAAGAGAAATAGTCTACCCCAAGGAAGAACACTCTAACTGGTTATTCAATGCTCAGCCCTGAAAACATATAAGTAACATTATATGGACTGAGCTGTAATTCGTGTAGTCAAGAACACATACACACATATATGTAACAACAATTAAAGAAAAAGAGACCGTGAGTTAGAAGTAGGGTGGGGCTGGGGTTACAGGGGAAGGTTTGTAAGAAGGAAGAGAAAAGGAAATGATATAGTTATAATCTTAATACAATATTTTTAAAGAAATAGGATAGTCTTTTATAGGTCCATGATTCAGCTATTGACTCTCCCAGATTAAACAGTGGGCGGGCACCTGTATCTAATTTGACATAAAGAACCTTTTGAGAGATGCTGACTTTGGAAGTGTAAGAAGAGAAGTCACACTGGGGCTCTGCCCCTGCCTCTGTTCTGTGCAAACCTGCCCTTTTCAAAGTCTTTCCTTGTCCATCTTCCCACTCAGAAGTCAGGTCTTCCTCAGCTGCATGATCTTTCAAAATAGCTGAGCCTGTTTTTAAAACCTCTTCAGACACAGGGCTGAGGTCTGAAACAAAAAGCTGGTCATGATAGCAAAAGCTGTAACCCCAGCACTCTGAAAAGCTGAGACGAGGAAGTGACAAGTTCGAGGTCAGCCTGGACTATGTAGTAGGACTTAAAAGGGGGAGGAGGAGGATAATTTAATTAATAAGAAATTTAAACTTGGAGTTGGTTCATCTAACTGTTCTCTTCTTTCTGCTTCTCACTGTCTCATGGAGGAGCGAGCCCACAATCTTGGAAGCATTACCATGATTCATTGGTAGCCAATTTACTTTTGGGTCAGAATAACTTTGAATCTTGCTGCCCAGTGTGAGTTATTAAAATGAAATATTGGGACAGGCCTCTTTGCACTCACATTTTTCTCCTTTCTTCATTCTGCAAATTTTGATAAGCTCCTACTGCCTGCCAAGTCTGTGTCAGAGAGGTAGGTAACATGATGAATTAGACACCCCCCCCCACTTCCTGCCCTCGGGGATCTCAGGCCTTATACAGAAGACAGACGATTAAATGGGCAGTGTCTACTGCATGAGCCCCTGGCAGGGCATGGGTGCTCTCTGCTGGGACCTCCTCTAAGGCAGGAGGCAAGTGGGTTGCCTTTGGGACTGTGCTTCAGGGAGACCGTCCACTACACAGGGCCAGTCACTGTGCTGCGTGTCCTTGCAGCCACCAGCAGCCACACAGCCTCTCCTTTCCTGAGCTCCCTCCCCTGTGAAGGGAGACAGACATCAGTGCAGTCAGCATGCACAAGGGCTTCCGGTGCAAGGCACTATGGGATGAAGGAGAAGAGAAGACTCTTTCCTTACCTAAAGAGAAGACAAGAGTCCTTCCCTAGCCACTAGGGAAGCAATGGAGTCCAAGGCAATGGGGAGAAATGGTAGATGCATTCCCAGACATTCCTTCCTCCCAGAGGGGCCAGGAGACCTATGGCTTGAACGTCTCTAAGTCCTTCAGAGATGTGGGGCTTCAGATGGTCTTAAAGGAGGAGGAGACATCTTTCTTTTAGAAAACACAGCATATTTTGGTTTAAAATTAGATTTGGGGTCTGTGATGTTATAGATGGACACAATTTTTTAAAAAGCAGTAAACAGTGGAATATCTGTCCCATCTTGGCTCCCTAGCTCGGGCTCTTTACAGGGATAATCATTACTCAGGGACTAAGCACGGGAACACTGCACAGTCCTCACCCAGCTCCCTTGTCGTACGCACACTGCTCATCTTCTTGCATGTTTAAACATTTAAACAACCGGCTCTGGCTGTACTCTGTCTATGGCTGCGAAGCAGGGAAGAATCACATCATATTTAACCAGCCACCCACTGACAGCATTTATGAAGCTTCCAGTCCTTTGTGATAACGTGCCATACTGTGATGCATGGAGGAGTAAAATGGAGAGGAATAACACTGTACATAAAGTATATCTTATGGTCAAGGTCAAACATTATTTTAGAAGTAGGTAGATTTAACAACGTGTAGCAAACAGGCCTGTGAAATGCACAAGAAGAGGGGAAAAAAGCCCTACAAGTCAATTTATCATGAGTTGGGTTTACAAGATGTAGAAGAAAGCAAGTCTCGGGTCCTTCGCCTAATTTTATTCAGAGAGGCCCCAGGTAGTTTATGCATACAGGGAAAAAAACCCCAGCTCTGTCAGGCTCATCTCCCCCAGGAAGTAAGGCATAGACACAGTGGGGATGACATAAACATCTCAGCAGGCGCAGTGCGTGGGCCTGATCTGGGCACGAAGGCAGGCATTAAGAGGGAAACAGCATTGTCTAGTGAACACAAACCTTGCAAGTGTGTGTACAGGGGCTTGCAACCTCCTGGGTGCAGGCAGGCCAGCAAGGCTTGGCTGGAATGGAGGATGCCCTTCTTGAGTTCTGCTGTTGTATCTACTCTCCTATATCATTAGCATCGCTACCCAGAGAAAATCTGGAGGAAAGCAGGGCACCCTCCTGGTTCTGGGTGACAGAAGCTGAAACCATGTGAGCAGAAGCTCCCTAGTTAGGGAACCTTCCTGGGATTCTTTCCACCTGCCATGACCAAGGCTCAAAATGTGACTCCTGCAGGAAAATTCCCAGGGTAGACATTTTAGGTCAAAGAATACATACAGTTTCGTCAGAAATGATAATCCCAGAACTTGGGAGGTAGGGGCAGGAAGGTCAAGTGTTCAAGATCACCCTTAGCTACACAGTGAGTTCTATGTAGAACATAGAACAGGTCTATGTGAAACCTTGCCCAAAAAAATTAAAAGCATATGAAATTTTCAAATAATAAGTTAAATATTATTCAAAACAAGTAAGCAAGGAAATAAAAGCAAACCATATGCAAAAATATGTGCAGTTCCATATTTTGAAAGCTAATTTGAAATAGTCTTCGCAAACCATTTCTTGTCCCACCTGGTGAGTCCTGAGAGAGGGTGGACAGCCCTCCCCTCAGTGCTACTAAATCTTTGATCGATGACCACATGATTAATTGGATCTGAGAAGCAGTCTTATCAGCATTTCTCCTGCTATTTGTGAAGGAGGCTATCTCCTCTTAGGTTTAAAAGCCATCTACTTCAAGAGTTTCCTCTGTAAGTCCTTGGTTCATATGTTTGGTTGGCGTGGACTGTTAGGTTAATGATCTTTTTATTGATTTACAGAGGCCCTTTATGTATAAGGACATCAAGTCTTTACTGATACGCTACAGCTCTTTTTCCCTGCTGGTTATTTGTCTGTTGACTTTGAGGTATTTTCCCTTCCAGAAATTCCACATTGTTGATAGTTGAATTTATCATCTTTCCTTCACTAGCTCAAAATGCTATTTTTGCCAGATAATAAAATGGGTTGGGTAGAATCCCTTAAAAGAGAATGCAGGCAGCCCGGAGAGACCGGCTTGGCTAGAACAGAGTGGAGACTGGAAGGTCCCTGGGGTCACTGACGCAGGACTCTGTCCCATGGGCATGCAGGAGGCTGACGGAGCTTGCAGGAATTGCAGCTGCAGATGTAAGCTTGCTCAGTCTCCCAAGGCCATCCATGTGATTTGCCTGACAATTTGTCATTGCAGACGCTGATCACCTGGGAAGGCGACACTCTGGTGTGTGTGCAGAAAGGGGAGAAGGAGAATCGTGGCTGGAAGCAGTGGGTGGAGGGGGACAAGCTGTACCTGGTAAGTCCCCCGGAGTTTGGACAGCACCTTCCTCCTGTGGCACTCACCTGGCTGGGAGCTTTGACAAGAAAAATGGCTCTGAGCTCTGGCCAAATGCGGTTGGTCATATAGTCAGAAAGCCATTCCCATCTGGCTCAGGGGACTCCAGGAAGAAATCTATATGGCTGTTTCTGTGAACGGCTGCAATTAAAAAGAAAGTTTAAAATGCTGAGTTAGGAAACCAAGATCCAAGGAGAAATGCAGACAGCCTGCTAAGGAGCAACTAGGGAGAAAGGTGAGCCATAAGTCGCCTAGACAAGATCAGGCATCCTGTCAGTACCTGGGTGGGGTAGGGGAAGGCTGAGAGCACGAGGGGTGTGGAGGGCGTGGTGGGAACACCGGCCTCTCACCCTAAGCCTAAGGCATGATGGACCTGATCCCAGTTGCTATGAGGTTGATTTGTTACTAGAACAGAACAGTAGGGACAATGGCCGACATCCTTCAATAAACGGTCACTGTCTAGACAACTTTATTTTTCATTCTGCAATCTTCACAACAATTTATGGGCCCCACGTCAAACGAGTGAGAAAAGTTTCATTCTTTCAAACATTCAGCTACTCATGTGCTCAATGAGTGACTCCTTCAGCAAACATATCCTCAATGATTCATTCATTCATTCATTCATTCATTCATTTGCCTGTGGAGTCAGGCAGGTACCCAGCTCTGAGGTCAGTATGATGTCATCAAGATGCTCTTCAGATCTGAGCAAGCTTCACCCGAGCTCTTTATTTCAGGGACACATCAGCTAATGACAGATGGGCGGCAGTCCCAGTGCTTCCCACGGGCAGCTCTCCCTATTTCCTGTGGCTTGGATGATAGATTTTTTTAAAAAATTGCATGGCCATCCCCAGTAGTGCCTGTGGTTAAGACAACAAATCCGTGGTCACTGGCGGCGAGCACGGCGGCCTTCCTCCTGCTCACTCACCCTCCTCCCTCAGAGTTCAGGGAGATGCAGAGTAGGCCCAAGGTTCTATCTACCTCCATGAAAAGCGGGACCCTGTCCGCTGTACCGGCAGAACAGGGAGCCCTTCTGAAGCTCCTCCCCTATTTTGGGGCCATCACTAAACATTTACCTAGTGCTTCTCCATGCTACCCTTCCCTTCCTCTCAGCTTCGCCACCTTTTAGTAAATTAGGCAATGTTGCTTTAACCATGGGAGTAGGAAAAATCTTGCCCAAGAGGGTCATTTCTTTACATTTTTCATTTTTATAGTTGTTCAAGCTCAATTTGAGTGTCAAAATCAAATTACTGTTACCTGCAGGGCATGGCAGCCCTACTGGGTCTGGGAGGGACACTTTGCCCAGAACAGCTAAATGCCCTCTTTATCCCAGCCTCACCCACCTGCCCCAGACCCTAGGAGGGCCAGGTGGGCAGAGGGCAGATCCGGGCTTGTCGGTCGGTCACTCACCCACTTTCTGACTTGCAGGAGCTGACCTGTGGTGACCAGGTGTGCAAACAAGTGTTCAAAAAGAAGTGAGGGCTGCAAGGGAAGCCCAGCACGCACGCAGAGTTCTCTGCCAGTTTTGGAAACCAGCCTGGGGGACCTCCTGCTCCTAACAGAACTCACTTCAGACATTGGCCTGGCTTTAAACTCGAGTATGTAAAGGAACCCACCCACCCCCCACCTTGGAATCTGTTATTAAATAAAAAAAAATGTCTCTCAGCTTTGGAAACCCTTTGTGTTCTTTATTCCTGGTTGTCCATTTTACCTACAGGCAGAGGCGGCACTGCCTACCAGGCTTGTGATGCTCTTGGCTTCGTTTTGTGTGTCTTCTTTTCTCTGTTTGGTTTGCTGGAGGGATTAGCAACATCCTCAAGCAACAATGCTGACTGATGAACATCTCCTCTGGGAGACATTCCTTTGTAGAGATGTATACCCCTTCTCTTAAAGATCTACATAAAGACTCATCTGCCTTCTGAGGTGCCCCAGAGCCTTGGCAGGTCTACAGTGTCAGCTGCTCTTAGCCCTCAGCGCTTCAGCCCTGCACTGCGAGGTGGGCTGTGAAGTGCCCGCCCATCCACACCTTATCCCCCTCCACCCACTCAGGATGCTACAGGTTTAGGCACTAGAAAGTTCCACTGCAAGTTCCCACTCCACCGTTTGGCTAAATGACCAGGGTCTCATCCCTTTCCCTTTCTGCCCTTGCTTTGTTCTGTAAGAGGAGAAGATGCTAGGGCACTGGGGCAAATAAGCAAGTCAATGCACACTGGTGCTTGGCGTGGGGCCTGGCCCTGATGAGGACTCCGTCCCTTCCAGCAGTGCAGGGCTGAAGCGCTGAGGGCTAAGAGCAGCTGACACTGCGGACCTGCCGAGGCTCTGGGGCAGCCCTATATGGTCTGTTTATGCTAAGTTACCGCCCTAGGAGCCACAGATGAGCAGAGATACCACAGAAGTCAGTACCTCTGAAGTGCCACGGTGCCATCAGAATGTGAAACTTGATACTCCGAGCACAACCATGTTTTCCTGCTGGCCATACAGAAGGATGCACTTAGAAAGACATAGAACTTAGTGGTGATAGATCTATGGGACTTATTTATGGGGTTCATTGAGTCCTACAGCTCAAAATAATCATCTTTTTAAAAACATTTATTTACTCTTATTGCATATGCATTGGTGTTCTGCCTGCACGTATGCCTGTGTGAGGGTGATGGATCCCCTGGAACTGGAGTTATAGACAGTTGTGAGCTGCCATGTAGGTGCTGGAAACCTGGGTCCACTAGAAGAGCAACCAGTGCTCTTAACTGCAGAGCCATCTCTCCAGCCCCTCAAAGCATCTTCTTTATCCCTCTACAAAAAGCCTGAAGTCCCGCCAACAGGTAGACACTTTCTATAAAAAGTAAGTTTCTCCTGAGAGGGGCCAAACATGGTGGTAATATGCTATAGCATAGTTTGAATGATTGGATCTCACAATGCTGGGCATCCTGATATTAGGGGGATAGGTAGAAAGGCTGGCATTCAGCCATGTGGCCCAGGGCTAGCCTAACTTGTACACTCTTGCCAGGCAACCTGTGAAGTGGGGTTCCCAGCATGCTGAGCTTCCCAGCAACCATGTCATACATTCCTGGGACAAGAAAGTCAGGAAAGTACCTGGCTGGAGCCTCATGACGGCTGGGGTGGGCTTCCAAGGGATGCCTTTTATTGAGAAAGTGGGCTATGCCTTGGAGGCCGAGGAGCCTCCTGAAGAGAACCATGCTCCATCTCCTGCACAGACCAGGACTGAGGGAAAGGACTGTGGTGTGCCCTTTGCCCCACTTTCCCCAGAACATTCCCAGGCACCTCATCCCCAACCACTGTTACCCTCAGTGGAACCCACCCTTGAACCGCAGGACCCTTTCACGCACAGCTTTGCCCCACTGAGAGGAGCAGAAGCAGTCTCCGTACATAGCCCTCTAACAGGCTTACCATTTTCAACCACAGATAGTGAGCAGTGTAACTCAAAACTCTGGTCTCCAAATGGAACGGCCTCAGAAAACAGGTTCCTCCCTTGTGGTAAGCAGCAGAACAAATAGATTAGGTAGGGTGTAAAGGCGTGAGAGCGGCTGATCATTCTTTCCAAAGAAGAGCTGACTGAAGTTGCATGAGTAATGGTGGCAGGCCCATGTCAAAGCCATGGCACGTACTTTACACCAGGGCTCCCCTTATGTTCCTGTACCCACTGCAGATAGGATAAGTCGAGCCACTGACTTCCTGTTTCTTACCCTGTTTGAAAACAAACTGCGACATGAATGCCTCACCCTTGCCCTGAAAGTCACAGCAACTGAAGGGATTACTTTTGGACAGTCAGTGGGGGCTGAGCTGAGGGTGAGGGCTCTCGAGAAAGTGTTCATTGGGCTGGGGACACCTTGAGGTCTTATGACCATCCCTACATCCTGTCCACTCTCAACTTCCTGATGGCAAATGTGAGCACACCTGCTGCCTTGTCCTCCTGAGAATTTGTCTTCCTTGCCACGATAGGCCACAGCCCTCCCACAGCAAATCTTTCCTCCCTTAAGTTGCTTCTTGTCAGAGGTTAGATCAGAGAAACAAGAAAAGTAACTAACGCAAAAGTCCAAGAGGCCAACAAGATGGCTTAGTAGGGAAAGGCGCTTTGCAATCCTAATGGCCGGAGTTCAATCAAGTGAGGAGATCATGGAGTCGGGGCTCGCCCTTGGTTCAAACACAGATCGCACGCCTCCCCAGATGCTCCTGTTTGTGAGGCAGTCCGGTCCCTTCCTCTCTCTGAGTCTCTGTTTCTTCCTTAGTAAAGTGAGGACTATTGAATGTGATCTAAAGGAGATATGAGTAAGTTACTAGCGAGGCATCTGAGACACTGTCAGTTACCCAAGGCAATTACCAACACACATGCACATGCACACACATGTACATACTCCTCCCGAACCACAGGTATTTGTACTGAATATGTGATGGTATGATTTCCTTTGTGAAAAACATTGTCTTCTAAAGCTTAAATACCAAGATTCCCTGCAACAGGCATTTTCAGACTTGACAATCACTAGGAAGTCCTATCCAAAACATGGATTCCTGCTGTGCATCCTTTCTGGGTTTGGGGAATGGACCTTTGTCTAGACTGCACCATTTCAGCCCTTTGAAGGCACACGGACAATGCTGGGCTTTGTTCATTTAGAACATGGTATGCTGAGGATTCACCACACCCTCCATTGTAGAGCAGTTTCTTCTGAATGGAAACATTCCATTGATGAGGGAAATTTGGTAAGATTCGGAAGTTCTAAAGCAGGCTGGGGAGAGGTGCCATCAAAACCCAGGAAGTAAGCAACTCACAAGTCTCAGGAAATCCCTGAAACCTATTAGATGTATAAATCTCCCCTCTCCTCCAATTTTTCTGCTGATAAGAGATTTGCTGACCTGTCAAACTGCCTGAAAATAGGGCAGAGAGCACCAAGTTCTAGCATCTGATAGCCATTATCCATGATAGGCTGGGAAGTTGATTATGAGTTGCCTTTGAGTCATCCAGTCATCTGTAAGTAACCTCTCACCCATGATACTGTACATAACTCAGATAAACTCAACAGTTCACCAAGTTGGACTTAGATGGTATTGTTTCTTTGGTCTATCATCAGTTCCCTATATCTGGTGAGTAGACATTTGTTTGTATCTTCCAAAAAATAGTTTACACAGTATCT